GCAGTGCGGTGGTCCCTGGCAACACTGTGAACGCAGCTCTCATCATTAGGATGGAAACAAGAGAAACCGCAAATTTAGCTAATCAGCTGCTGACAACGTTCTGAAGAGACCCGGAGAAAGAGCAGCAGGGGTCAGAGCGCAGATTAACTGCTTAAGACAACAACTTCATTAAGTCTACGTCTGTCTTTGCTCGTGACCCAAAAGACTACTTAAAGCGATAGATACAGTATAAATGCAGCAGTATTTATAGGACACAAATGAAGTCAGTGGCAACTTCCACACATCAAACTCTTAAAATTGACTTTTCTGAACATCACGTTTTATGCTGTTTACATGTCTATCTGGTGTTTTAATACGTTTAAAGATAAACCATGTGCAGATTCATCAGTCAACACCACTGCTAAGAATGTTCTCCTCAAAATTACGATGTATATTTAAGACAGTCTGAAAATGAGTCGGCGCCATAGCATTGTGGGCCCCCTCTATCTCCCACTTCACTTTATGTCAGCTCTAATCTGTCCTATCATAAAAAAGGCAAAAATGGCAAAAATAAATCTTTTAAAAAAAAGACCAATCAAACCAATCAACCCGTCAACTTGCAAGATGGCGCTTTTCATATCATTAGCAATGCATTTCTACCTAAAGATGTTGATTTTTGGAAGGAAGGTGTCTGAGATGGTGAACGGGAACAGGGTTTGTATAACATTGGAAACACATTATAACTTGTTCAGTAACTTAGTCAAGCCAAAGGCTAATTAAAGGCGCTGTATGTAGGATTGACACCGAGTGGTTGAACTAGGTATTACAGTCCAAATTCTAAATATTGGAGAGGGTTTTTTTTCACCCGGTCCCTCCTCAGACTTGACGCATACGCAGGTTGCCAGATTGACGACACGAACAGGAACGAGCGCACCTGACGATGGAAAGCATTGAGCCCTACACTGTAAGTTGATCAGCTAATGTGTACGTTTGCAATATTTGTATTGTTTGCAAATTATAAACCACCTCATGTGTATTTTTATAAATCTGAATCTGCGTCTCATTTCGGAGGCTGCTGCTGCGTCCTCCGGAGGTCGCATTTGTCGGGACAAATACAGATGCATACATTGAGGCGGCCCAGTTGTAAACGTAATCAAGTAGACTGTTATTCATTGTGAGGTGTAAAATACTATAATTTGACTTTGAAATCTAATGATTAATTTTCTCAAACGAGACTGCCTCAATTAACTATTTCCCGCTCTGACCCCTTTCGTTTGCCAGCTTCCATGACTGAAATGAAATACGCTCTGTTTCCCGCCAACTGGCAACCCGGGGTGCCGAAATACAATTGGGTAAACTGGCAGTGGGCGGGTTTCACAATCCAAAACAGAGATTAACATTCCGGCCCGGAATGCACATTTTCAAAGGAGAATAACTGACTGTAGCATTGTTTTTCAGATAAACAAATATGTTAACTTAGCATGTTTCTTAAATATCTGCAAACATATTATGGTATTTTTATGCTTTAGTAGAGTCAAAAACTTACATACTGCACCTTTAATTACTGTTACATGTAGAGAGCAATTATAGACTTGCAGATGGCCCTGTATAATTTACTTTTCCTCTTTAGAATCAGTTTCTATTTCAAACATATATAGCTGAATTAATCCAATATTGGTACTTGTCATTGTGTAACATTCACTACTTCAGTTAACCGAGTAAAAGTGGAGCAGGTAGTCTGAGCTGGTGTAATTGAGTGGGGACAGGACTACTTTGCATATTCATGATTTTGTAGCCTATATAGTAAATTAGGTAAGGATGTAGAGTAAAGGCCAAAGTATACTTCGGGGGACCTCAAATGGAGTATGCTTTGAAAGGCTACACGTAAAGAAATAATTTTCACTGGAAAAGACGTTAAAATATGTCATTTTGATGATCAAAGATGAATTTTAAGGGATAAAATGAGCAACTACAGCTTTTTTTTAATCATCGTACCTGCTGTTCACACATACAGCGGCTTTCATCTTTAACAGACAGCATGCGCACATCAGCACTAAAATACCAGTCAACTCTGTGACATCAATAATGTGAACTGACCTTGAAACGCTGTGCCGCTTTCCCCATTTGCCCGGATGTCAAATTTGACAAAATATTTTGATTTCTGAGTGACAGGCATCATCATTCACACAAAATGCATTTTTGCTTTTTATCCCTGACAATTCAACAGCACTGATTTAGCATTATTTCTAAACACGGATCTCTAAACGGAATTTACCAGTAATGTTCCGGAAAAAAAGCTGTACCCTACTGGAGATGCGTTACCAAAACAAAACTAAAATCACAGGAGTAACCTGTAAGTGTTGCTTGCCATTGCTCCCACAATGCTCTGTGTGGTTGATCCTAGAGTTTTACTATGTGGTTTGCCCAAGTAAACTCAGAGGAGCCCATCTCTAAGTCTGTATGATATTCTAGTCTCTGGATATGACTCAGGTTCCTTTTTCAATGCATGTCTGCAGTATTTTTATTGTCCAGTTTCATGAGCATGCACTGACAAACACACCAAGAAAAGGTTTTGTGGAGATTTGCTTAACGCAAATGTTTGCCACTGGGATTTCCATTCGAATAATCTTTCTGTTGTCTAAATTTGCAAATATTGAGTAACACTGAGCAGGAAGACAAATGAGGTGGGCACACCACTGCGGATGACTATTATGCAACACACACTAAAAGCTGGGGTCCATTTGACAAAAATAGGACACAAGTATTAGGCTAATTTACAAAATGTAAATGCTTCTTCAGGATGACTGCCAGCTGATAGTTTCGGTGGTTTACTCACTCACAGAATTGCTGTGAGATTTCGGTCTGAGCTAATTCTTCGGCCACGAATCCCACCGGAAATGAAGTCATATCCTTAACAGAACCAACAGGAAGCAAACTCGAAGCTTTCACTTTCGCTATCTGAAAAAAAAATGATTCTCATCACATGACTGTGCTCACCACAGCAATAATCGCTCAGTTCAATGTCCAAGATCTGATTTCAAGCAATGATGATTCTGCTATTTTGCACAGTGAACTATTAGCGCACATTTATTACAACAGAGAACCGGCGTTACAAATGAAAGCAGTTATCCGTAATCTAGCGCTCAACCCATATGGTGCTCCAACTGTTTTCATGACTGGCGGTTGGATGACTCTAAAGAGAGTCTGTCACAGAAAAGAGCCAAGGAGCAGCGCTGAAATCTCCTCAAGGACAGCTGGGTTTAGCTGTAATCTGAACAAGACACGTTCAGCAGATTTTAAAGGCCTTATCGCCATATCCATGCGTACAGCATCTAAACACCCAATGATGGCTACAAGTCATCCTAGTACCCACTTTTCTGTTTTGGGAAGCCTACGAGCAGCCCGGTTTCACGCTGGTGTGAAAAGCAAGGGTTTGTCTAGTTTGTTAGACATCCCATCTGTGGCTCGCTGAGAATCTGATGCATTAGGTTTTGCTTGGCCCTGCTGCACTACAAAACAAGCGGCTATCACAACAAATCTATAGCAACAGAAGTGGACAACAGTCAATGACTTTGCTCCGATCACTCACGTACGCATGGAAAAATGTATTTGGCTTACAAGGTCACGGATCTAGCATTGCCTGAATTTCTATGACTTCTCTTTTATATTATCATCATGCCTTTTCCAGTTTTTTGTCATTACAAGAAAATGAATTTTACAAATCCAACAAGAGCCATTTCTAGCTGGCTAAATATATTGGACATACTATAAAAGCTAGAAATGTCCATGGCTTTTTCAGGATTTGATGAATTTCCTTGAACTTTCTGATGTTGTAAAAGACACCACCATTGAAAAGTGCTTTGTGCTGAAGGGCAGGCAAAGGCAAATAACAGGTGTTTATTTATCACAATGTACACACTATATAGTCTATTGCAGGTTTTTTTTTAACTGGGGTCAAAGGAGTGCTAGGCGGTCTGTATGAATACTCAGAGAAAAACAGTGCACTTTTTTTTTTTTTTTAATGAATAAATAATTAAAAATGAGATTTAAATAAAAATAATGAGAATTTGATGAACATGAACAGATAAATAATAAACAAAACACATTAACAGAAAGAAATGTACAGAAAAAAATATTAAAAAAAGAAAACAAATGACTAAATAAAAAAGTTAAACGAGTAAAATATTGAATAATTAACTTATTAAACGAAATATTTAATAAATAATGAAGCATTAAAAACATTTGCTTATATAATTAAAATAAAACAAGGCCAAATAATTTAAATAATTAATCTATTATTAAACAGCACAATCCCCCTCAGCTGCTGTTCCAGAAACAGCTCTAAACAGGATTCAAGTTTCACATCCCAATTAAACGAAACTGAAGCTATTTTAGGAACCAAAGCAATCTCTTTTATTTCAGAAGACATGTTTAACACCTCCAAACCAATAAGGCACGAATATATTGATTTTTATAGACAGAAAGTGATTCTGTCAGTTACAGACTGAACCTTCGGCTGTCAACAACTTACAGAAGCATCTTACCCTTTCGAGAAAAAAAATAAATAAATAAAAATACAATTGCAAATGAAGGAAATCTACCAAAAAGCTACTGCACCTTTGTTTGTGCATCGCGCCTGACCAAAGTACACCAAACACTCAAATACAAACTATATTTAAAATTCTCACTATTTAAAAACGAACGTCTTTCTAACGTTACGCTATCCTGTTAGCCTCATAGCTTAGCACTGTCAACGTCTATTCCTGCTGCCACACACCACTCAACGCACAAAAACAGCGTGAAATCCACTATACACGCATTTTATCCTCATTACACGAAGGCAGAAATTAATTAAACATGTAAAGTGTAAAATACAACCATCATACAACAACAAATGTTGTTGGAAATCAATAGCTCGATGCAAATACAGGATGAGTCGCTGTGAGGCGAACCCTCAGCTGGCTAACGCGACAGCTAGCATCCGCTAAAGTCACTTCTTCATCGATACCATCCGCACTTACCAGGTCAAACCAGGCGATAAACGACCAGCAAACAGAATTATTCAAGTAGTCCTTGGTTCAATAGAGGCGATGTGAATAACGATGATTACTAGCTACAGTGTTGGGCTCGCACTGGCAGTTTTAATGTGAGTAGTTGATTCTGTGGAATGGAGACAGCGTTAGTTACACACCCACAGCGATGCCACACTGACCCCGCTCGCTCTCTCTCCCTCTCTCTCCCTCTCTCTCTCTCTCTCTCAGCATTTCAGCATTCTCCCCAACACACTGTTTCCAGAATATTCCATTAAAATAATTTATATTTCACACGATGTCACTTTTATCTTAGATCAAACAGAAGCAGAGACAGACATGTTATAGTAGATGCTCATTGCTTTAACAAGTCGAAATGCATTATGGCAAAACTGTCATGGTGTCGATTTCACTGTTTTAACGTAAGGTAATTACAAAAAGATGCACACATTATTTGTTGCTTTAAACGAAAGAAAAACTAAACTCAAGCAATGCAATTCAAAACTGTTCTGTCAAAAGGGAATATTATTTTACATGGTTCTGCAGCGCCACTCAGTGTTTGATTCCATACATGCGTCGCATACTTTAGACAGGACCGGGGCAAGTTGTCACACAGTATACTCCACCAGTGAATAACCTATTTTTCATAGTGAGTTTATTTTTGTAAAATCTTTGTCTGTATAAACGCATACCTTCTATTAACAACTTTATCCACACAAAATAGTGGCAATATATTAAAATACTTACAATAATTACAACTAATTAAAACAACTAAATTCCATAATTCCAGAAGATTCAGTATCTGTATGTTTATCACCATATACAGTAATATATTATACCATTGTTTTAAATTGTAATGAATAAACTGTATAAATTGATTGATTGTTCAAAATTAGCATGTAGTGCAGTGGTTTTGTCTCCAAGGCCCCCATTGCCAAAGACAATATGGTACTTCTGCTACAATGACAACAACTTTATCCACACAAAATAGTGGCAATATATTAAAATACTTACAATAATTACAACTAATTAAAACAACTAAATTCCATAATTCCAGAAGATTCAGTATCTGTATGTTTATCACCATATACACTTTATGACCAAAAAATGTATATGACTCAGAAATACCAATTGTTTCCCCAACAAACTATTTTCATATTCTTGAAAATCCATTTTCTAATCTTGATTTTCAGCTGTTTTACTTTATTTCAAAGGTTATTTTAATAATTTAAGTCATCTTGAGACCCCCTTGAAAGTGTGCTGTCCTCCCTAGTGGATCCTAAACAATGATGTAGTTGTGTAGATATGAGAAATAGAAATGTGTGAGGGGCTATAACATAATGGCAATCAATCAATCAATCAATCAATCAATCAATCAATCAATCAATCAATCAATCAATCAATCAATCAATCAATCAATCAATCAATCAATCAATCAATCAATCAATCAATCAATCAATCAATCAATCAAGCAATCAATCAATCAATCAATCAATCAATCAATCAATCAATCAATCAATCAATCAATCAATCAATCCCCTATATCTATTGACTGAATATTCATTTGGGTGTTCTTACATTTTCTTTTTTCAATTATCATCTAAAGTACGTCTATTTTCATTTTCCAATTGCTCTATATCGTAGAAAGCATTTTTCTATGATAAGAGCTTTATTAGATGAATGCAGTGGATGTCTTTTAGTGTTTAAGTATCACTGAGATACTATTATAGTTTTTATTAATAGTTTAAAATGTGTTCTGTTTTGATTTCAAGTTTAGGTAAAAGTAATAATAATAAATAATAAAAGAATAATAACAAAATAATAAAAGTAATTTTGTTATATACACATTTTGTATGGTTCTGTAGTCTTTATAAAGTTTTTACAATCTTTTTATAAATTGTATTTCAGTTTTAGCTTTAGTTCGTGAGCTAAACTAAATAAAAATGAGAAATGTTGAAATAAAATAAGTTTAATAATATATATTTAAAATGATTTTTCAGTCGTTGTGTAATTTATTATTATTATTATAATTTTTAGTTTTAGTTTTAGTTACTATAATAACCCTGATGTTCTTAGACTAATCTCAGCATGAGCTCATCAAGTTAACCTTTCATCACAGGACAATAACTTTATCTGTCATCTGCCAAAATGTGGCCTCTTTTCTTACCTACCATTTGTGACTAAATTATGTACAAAACCATATTATCACACAACTGACATTCAAATGAAACAATTAAGCAATATAAAGCAGACACACCCAGTGATTTATTTAAATGTTTATTGCTGTGTTTGAAGATTAAACTCCTTGGACTTAAGTTGTGTTTGGTGGGTCAGTCCAAACACACAAACATTTCTATCATTTATTATTTAAATAGTAAAACAACAATTCTGTGATACAATACATAGGCTTCACTACTAAATTCTGAACAAGCTAGACTAGGCGAGGTGGTCTGTACACAAGAACCTATTCTGTGTGCTTATACATACAATCTGAAGTACAAGAGGAGATGAGAAACATTACATTTACCAAAAAGAAAAACACAGTCATACCAAACAAATGAAAACAATAGCTTACCAAACCTGCACACCTCGAAGAGGAGGCACGTGTAGTTCATAATGTGCTGATATGAAATAAAAAGCTTCATTTGAAACACATGACCCACTGCAGGCCCCAAAGTTCATGTGCTCGTCGTGTGGCGGTACATTTCCATATGTGTAAATATGAGTATGATATGATTTAAATGGATGATATTATTGAATGCAGCTTTGTCTCTTTCACTTCACCATGAAGTACCAAATTCCAAAGTAACAAGTGAATAAGTTCCTCCGGCACTTTTGGGCAGATCAATGAGAAACAATATTTTGAACGTGAACACTTTGCCTCCGTTTACCGGCTGAATGTTGGCATAGAACACAAAGTCTTTGTAGATATTATATACACATCTTCGATATTTGTACTGTCTGTGAGAACTCTAAGATCTACTTTGACACTTGTGGATAGTATATCACAGTAGTTTCAAACCAGACGGTATCCAAATATAAGTGTCAGGACCCCTTTACATGCCACGACACAATGAATCAGACCGAGAACTGATGCTTCGGAAAACATTACACGTTGCAAAAATGTAATGATCGCTTCTTACAGATGGTGCTGATTCACAGGGACTTTTCTCTGCAGTAACTGCGCATTTGGCTCATAATTACATTGTATAAGATACATTTTTGTATGACTATAAATTATTCCACATTAATATAACTGGTGTGCTTGAAAGCTTCTCTGGATATATGCTTTGTCATGCTTTTAAAAAATGTGTCCTCTGGTCTTCCACAGTTCACTGGAGATGCAGTGCATCCCGCAGTGTTTTCAGCCTCGTGCATAATGGAGAACGATTAGGCCTCATACACCCTACAAAGGGACAAAAAAACAATATTTGAGAGGTTTAATATTGGGCTTTCTTTATCTGTTGTGCATGGGCTTATACTGACACCTAGTGGTGTCGAGTCTTCGGAGTGCACATGACTTTAAAGTCCATCATGCAACAGAATTCATAAAAGTGACATATCTTAGTGAAATGACTTTTCGAAAAAAAGAAAAGTAGGCAGGACTTGATTTTATCTCTCAGATGAGGGAACGTTAATGTTTTTGAATAAAACCATGTGCATGAGTTAATTTTTATAATAAACAACTTTTCCACGACATTCTAATTTATTGAGATGCACCTGTATTCCAAAAAAGAAGAAGTTTGATTTTATGGTGACATTTCATACCTTTTCAAGAGTATTATTAAATTCCTTTTTAATAAACACGTTAAGAACAAAAAACCTGAGTGCACCTTTAATGTGCCCCATCTTATTTGGGGTTTTCTGAATATAAATGTAAGACCTTTTTAAGACCAAGTACAGAAAACTTAAGGAAAGCATTGAATGGAGCACTTGAATAAATACCTTTGCTCTCAAAATATGGAAATAACTTGTACTGTTTTGTCATTACATGAAAAAAACAAAATGTTCTTCATCAGTATTTTTCTCTTGGTTTTCATTCACTCTTAAATCAAAACCCATTTACATGACAAGCAAAAAATGACATCAGATAAAAAAAAAAAGAGTTTGGTTGAAACAAGAACAAATATCCGCCAGCTGGTTTGGTTTTCATAACCCACGTAATTTTGTTACGTAAACTCACTCAATTTTGTTCAAGACTTAATATCTTTAATTTGCATGTTGATTTAATGATGTTTAGATATTTGCAATGGAAAACAAAACTAAAATACTGAAGAAAACTTTCTTTCTGCTGCAATTTAAGAGAAACTTTGTTGTTGTATACAAAATTAGAGCATTTTAATCTAATAGAAAATGTTTATCGCTGTAATCTTTAATCAAACTATCATAACTTAATACTATAACTATAAAACCTTCCTTTTTGGCTGACATTGCAAATTGGCATCAACCCATTCCCAACAACCTGATAGACAAAATAGTCCCTTTTTTTCTCATTGAATTTCACTTGAATATTTAACTTGGGAAATATGTCAAAGTACACGAGTCATTTGGGTTTTGGGTTTTATGTTCGCAGTGCTGGCAGGCAGTCGTTTATATCTATTAACGTAGAAGCGATGTTTGAAATCAGCGAAAGTTTACTGAACGCTACCTGTGTTTGTCCTTCCAGATTTTGAACCACTTGACAAGGTTCTTAGTGCTCTGGAGCCTGGGGTGCAGGCAATACTCCTGACCTTTGAAACGGGACACATTCTCCATGGTGACACTGTAAACACATGGGAAAAATCACGGATGAGTGGATGGGAGGAGAAGATGGGTAAACAGGATGAGACAAGGGGAGAGCATTAGTCATTCAAGCAACACAAACAATCAGCAGTGATACTCTTAATACATTGCATGCATGCCATTAATCATAAAAATAATAACAATGCTACTTTATTTGTTAATAAATGTCATTTTGCACTAAAGATTCGATTGAAATTATAATTTAAATTATATACAGAAGGTGGGACAAATCCTGACAAATCGTTCCTGGACTTGATTCTGAGGTGAATCATCACGTCCGCAGACTGGTAAACAAATACAAATTCAAAGCAGAATTCAATAGCGCAGCTTATTTTGCCTATTAAGAAGATATTTACCACATCGCTGGAATCACTGAAGCAAACTGACCAAGAGTGCCTAGTCTTTTATTTTGATTTTCACTTTATTATTCACCTGCGCATGCAGCCAAAACAACATGTTTGTTGACTCTAAACTCTTCATTGGCCCCTTAAAACAGAGCAGGAGCTCTTGTGGGACTGGAGAAGCTTCTAGAATGTTAAACTCACACTCAGAATCCAGTGCCATAAACTGAAGAGAAGGAACACTTTCAGCAGAGTCCTTGGGGTTTGCTTTTCTCTGAGGTCAGAGCTCACCAATGCAAATCCAGACAAATGAGCTAAACGTCCAGGGATTATTTACCAAACATTTTGAGGCTAAACGGCCACAAACGATTTTTAAAAAATTCTTATATAAAATATATTTCTGCATTAACTATTAATTATATAAGTATAAAGACTAGCTGAAATACTATGGATATTATATAGTCTTCAAATGAGCACATGGGCACAGCACTTGAATCGAGAATATCAAATATTGCTGTAAATTAATCAAGTAATACGTTTCACATCTGACCAATTTCATTTGACAGTTTCTACAGTTCAGAGCAACATTTCTGGATCTAAACTGCAGACAGATCTCTCTCTCTGTTCATATGTAATGAGATTTCTATATAAAGCATATGATACTACAACTTATTTTGAACACTCAAATAATTATCGAACTAAGCTCACAATTTTCGTTTGAATTTAAGACATAACTTTACTATAGACTGATTTTAAATATCTCCAGCTCTGTAAATATGCTGCAATACCTAAAATGGCAAGCAGGTGGAACAGAATGTATAATAATGTCTATCAAAAAGACATGCTTCTCACAAACACAAGTTTGCTTCACACCATAGAAAACATGTTTGGATCTTACAGGCTTCATAAACACTGTTCAGGCTTCATGCAATGTCACAACGTAACCATGCTAAGTTCATTTTGACTGTAGCATCTTCTAAGTGTGCCACTAAACTGTCATCCGGATCCTAATTGAAAATCCAGTTAAAACGGCTTCTGCTGGCAACTGGTTTTACAAGGTTTATAGCTGATCTAAGATTTATGGTCATTAGATAATCCATGATGCATTTGGTGGCCATTACCTGACAGCTACAGTCTGGTTAGAGCTGATTAAACTGGTGTGAACTGGATTGAGCTGGATCACAATGCTTGACCACCTCAAGATGAAATGACCTGTTTTATCTAGCAGGGTCTAGGGGCAGACAACACTTATTAAAGCCTACTGGAAATATTAGCTGCGTATAAATATATAATATTTACAGAGTAGCTAATTCTTGAGTTGTTAGTTAAAGAACCTACTGTAAATCATAAACGGTCATAAAAACACAACACACACCAAACACACTTACTGACCCAAACGAGCAGATCAAAGATAGAATTTTTTTTTGCAACTCACAAAATCATCTTTTCTTGGCAGTATGGATGTTTAGGCTTGATCTCCAGCTTTTGTACATCTTTGTACCGGATCTTCGGACCTTTTCTCGTGCATCTGCACTTGTATGCTAAGAAATGAAAAAAGCGCACAGTTTAGTCTCAAGAAAAATCATGCTGTAGATCTCACAAAAACTGTCAAGAGATTTATTTAATCTAAATTCATGTTGCACCCAACCTCAAAAAGAAAATTACATTTGAATAGAGAAGATAGAAATAGAAAGAAATTACAGCTGCATAAAGAAAATAGAGCCTAAAAATGAATGTGTACACATTTTTATAAATGCATTATTTTAATAAAACAGCACTATAAAAAAAAAAATGAAGCTTACATGCAAACAATATATTTTATTTGCATTAGCATGCATTAATGTAATTTGTTAATTTTGATGTATTTCAAAAAATAGTAAAGGACAAGTACTGTAAATATGCATGATAGTTTTGTTTTCTGATTTTAACATTGTGTCTAAACAATAACTTTCACTGCTGTATTAATGAGAATTTATTTGTTTACTTTTTGCATTAACATAGGCTAATGGAAATTTGTGAGGTGAATGTGCTTAATTCTGATCGGGCTTACTTTTCTTTACTTTTTTGGTAAAATATAACATGGACATTTCTTCCAGAGATGCTTTCTGCATGTTCCCGGCAGCATTTTCTAACTTTCAAACGCATTCAAAACTGAACTGACAACGAGGTTGTACACAATTCAACAAACAGCGCAGAAGACTGGCGTGATGGAGATTCATTAAAGTGCCATTTGCTGTTTTCCCTCGATCTCCTCCAGCAGGTGAGCTTCTGCTGAAAGACCCGTGACCTACATCTAATCCCTCATCAATCTTCTCTGCTCCATTCAGCATCATCTCGAAACAGCCTCTCAGGACACAAGCCAACAAGACTCATCCAGCAACACAAAGAGCCACTATTTACTACCACTGGCCAGGTTTTGCAGAATGAACTAGGTTGTCTGAGACAAGTGGAGCCTATTTGACAGTTGTACCAGCATAAAACGCTGTTATTCTGCGTGAAAAGTTAAAAACAAGAGATAAAATAGAAGCATAAATTTGTTAGATACTAAAATCATGCACTCCGGATAAGACCGAAACAGCTAAAACGCGGCATCGTGTAAGCTATTGATTGACACTTTAACCCTACATAAAAAAAAAAAAAAATTATTAGAATATTAAAAAATAAATAAATAATAAACATGGCACACACACTCACCCTCTGTGTTGAGTGAATAAAAGGCGATAACCAGCAAAAGTAAAGCGGCCGTACAGCGATTCATCCCCAATAGTTTGTTGAGAAGCTCCAGCAGCCTCCGGTTTGTTTGTGCCACTCAAATCCAATAATCGAGATGCTCAAACAGCGCGAGTGTGATGATAAACCCGTCTCTGTGATGTTGAATGCGCTCCCAGTCCGCGACACGCCACGCTCTTCTCAATCTGACGAGCTGCTCTCGAGCTCTGCGCTTCTATAAACACACGCTCCAGCGCCTCATTGATATGCAGAGCCCGCCGACGAATTAACTGTGGCCGTGTCTCCAAACCGAGCGAGTTGCCTACCTAGAAAGCATTTTGGAATCGTTTGAATGCAGGCGAGGCTGTCTAGGTAGGCAGCGCTCTAGGTTTTGAGACACAGTCTACATCTATCGCCAGAGAAAAAGCGATACACTTGAGTTAAAAAGTTTATTAGGAGAGTCTGTACGTTGTCAGGGGAGATAATTGCATTGGCTTTCATGCCGTCTCACTTAATTTGTTATCTCTGATTCTTGCCCATGAATAAAAGCTCAGTTTAGCAAACTCTTTCTTTTTGTAACCCAGCAAATCTATACAAACTGGACATCATAATAGTCTTTAGTAGAAGAGTGTTTTCTTAAGAACATCTTTAGACCTAAATACAAAACATCTGCATTTAACTTCTTGGACAGTTAGGTAGTTTAAAAAAAAAGTATCTGTGAGACTCACCTCAATGAGAATTAGATATAATTAAGTAAACCTGTGAGTAAACACTTGATTTTCATAATTCTTAAATGTTAAAAAAGCTGTTTTTAGATTGTTGTTGGTGACAGTGTTATGCACATAAAATGTTTTATGCTAGTCTCACCAATAAAGCTGCTTAAGTGTTATTTTGTGCTTCTAACCAGGGTTTGTGTAAAAACTCACACTACATTCTTAAAAATAAAGGTGCTTCACGATGCCATAGAAGAACCTTTTCGTCTAAATGGTTCCATAAAGAACCTTTAACATCTGAAGAACCTTTCTGTTTCACAAAAGCTTCTTTGTGGCGAAAGAAGGTTCTTCAGATTATAAAAAGGTAAATTTGCATGTTGATTTAATGATGTTTAGATATTTGCAATGGAAAACAAAACTAAAATACTGAAGAAAACTTTCTTTCTGCTGCAATTTAAGAGAAACTTTGTTGTTGTATACAAAATTAGAGCATTTTAATCTAATAGAAAATGTTTATCGCTGTAATCTTTAATCAAACTATCATAACTTAATACTATAACTATAAAACCTTCCTTTTTGGCTGACATTGCAAATTGGCATCAACCCATTCCCAACAACCTGATAGACAAAATAGTCCCTTTTTTTCTCATTGAATTTCACTTGAATATTTAACTTGGGAAATATGTCAAAGTACACGAGTCATTTGGGTTTTGGGTTTTATGTTCGCAGTGCTGGCAGGCAGTCGTTTATATCTATTAACGTAGAAGCGATGTTTGAAATCAGCGAAAGTTTACTGAACGCTACCTGTGTTTGTCCTTCCAGATTTTGAACCACTTGACAAGGTTCTTAGTGCTCTGGAGCCTGGGGTGCAGGCAATACTCCTGACCTTTGAAACGGGACACATTCTCCATGGTGACACTGTAAACACATGGGAAAAATCACGGATGAGTGGATGGGAGGAGAAGATGGGTAAACAGGATGAGACAAGGGGAGAGCATTAGTCATTCAAGCAACACAAACAATCAGCAGTGATACTCTTAATACATTGCATGCATGCCATTAATCATAAAAATAATAACAATGCTACTTTATTTGTTAATAAATGTCATTTTGCACTAAAGATTCGATTGAAATTATAATTTAAATTATATACAGAAGGTGGGACAAATCCTGACAAATCGTTCCTGGACTTGATTCTGAGGTGAATCATCACGTCCGCAGACTGGTAAACAAATACAAATTCAAAGCAGAATTCAATAGCGCAGCTTATTTTGCCTATTAAGAAGATATTTACCACATCGCTGGAATCACTGAAGCAAACTGACCAAGAGTGCCTAGTCTTTTATTTTGATTTTCACTTTATTATTCACCTGCGCATGCAGCCAAAACAACATGTTTGTTGACTCTAAACTCTTCATTGGCCCCTTAAAACAGAGCAGGAGCTCTTGTGGGACTGGAGAAGCTTCTAGAATGTTAAACTCACACTCAGAATCCAGTGCCATAAACTGAAGAGAAGGAACACTTTCAGCAGAGTCCTTGGGGTTTGCTTTTCTCTGAGGTCAGAGCTCACCAATGCAAATCCAGACAAATGAGCTAAACGTCCAGGGATTATTTACCAAACATTTTGAGGCTAAACGGCCACAAACGATTTTTAAAAAATTCTTATATAAAATATATTTCTGCATTAACTATTAATTATATAAGTATAAAGACTAGCTGAAATACTATGGATATTATATAGTCTTCAAATGAGCACATGGGCACAGCACTTGAATCGAGAATATCAAATATTGCTGTAAATTAATCAAGTAATACGTTTCACATCTGACCAATTTCATTTGACAGTTTCTACAGTTCAGAGCAACATTTCTGGATCTAAACTGCAGACAGATCTCTCTCTCTGTTCATATGTAATGAGATTTCTATATAAAGCATATGATACTACAACTTATTTTGAACACTCAAATAATTATCGAACTAAGCTCACAATTTTCGTTTGAATTTAAGACATAACTTTACTATAGACTGATTTTAAATATCTCCAGCTCTGTAAATATGCTGCAATACCTAAAATGGCAAGCAGGTGGAACAGAATGTATAATAATGTCTATCAAAAAGACATGCTTCTCACAAACACAAGTTTGCTTCACACCATAGAAAACATGTTTGGATCTTACAGGCTTCATAAACACTGTTCAGGCTTCATGCAATGTCACAACGTAACCATGCTAAGTTCATTTTGACTGTAGCATCTTCTAAGTGTGCCACTAAACTGTCATCCGGATCCTAATTGAAAATCCAGTTAAAACGGCTTCTGCTGGCAACTGGTTTTACAAGGTTTATAGCTGATCTAAGATTTATGGTCATTAGATAATCCATGATGCATTTGGTGGCCATTACCTGACAGCTACAGTCTGGTTAGAGCTGATTAAACTGGTGTGAACTGGATTGAGCTGGATCACAATGCTTGACCACCTCAAGATGAAATGACCTGTTTTATCTAGCAGGGTCTAGGGGCAGACAACACTTATTAAAGCCTACTGGAAATATTAGCTGCGTATAAATATATAATATTTACAGAGTAGCTAATTCTTGAGTTGTTAGTTAAAGAACCTACTGTAAATCATAAACGGTCATAAAAACACAACACACACCAAACACACTTACTGACCCAAACGAGCAGATCAAAGATAGAATTTTTTTTTGCAACTCACAAAATCATCTTTTCTTGGCAGTATGGATGTTTAGGCTTGATCTCCAGCTTTTGTACATCTTTGTACCGGATCTTCGGACCTTTTCTCGTGCATCTGCACTTGTATGCTAAGAAATGAAAAAAGCGCACAGTTTAGTCTCAAGAAAAATCATGCTGTAGATCTCACAAAAACTGTCAAGAGATTTATTTAATCTAAATTCATGTTGCACCCAACCTCAAAAAGAAAATTACATTTGAATAGAGAAGATAGAAATAGAAAGAAATTACAGCTGCATAAAGAAAATAGAGCCTAAAAATGAATGTGTACACATTTTTATAAATGCATTATTTTAATAAAACAGCACTATAAAAAAAAAAATGAAGCTTACATGCAAACAATATATTTTATTTGCATTAGCATGCATTAATGTAATTTGTTAATTTTGATGTATTTCAAAAAATAGTAAAGGACAAGTACTGTAAATATGCATGATAGTTTTGTTTTCTGATTTTAACATTGTGTCTAAACAATAACTTTCACTGCTGTATTAATGAGAATTTATTTGTTTACTTTTTGCATTAACATAGGCTAATGGAAATTTGTGAGGTGAATGTGCTTAATTCTGATCGGGCTTACTTTTCTTTACTTTTTTGGTAAAATATAACATGGACATTTCTTCCAGAGATGCTTTCTGCATGTTCCCGGCAGCATTTTCTAACTTTCAAACGCATTCAAAACTGAACTGACAACGAGGTTGTACACAATTCAACAAACAGCGCAGAAGACTGGCGTGATGGAGATTCATTAAAGTGCCATTTGCTGTTTTCCCTCGATCTCCTCCAGCAGGTGAGCTTCTGCTGAAAGACCCGTGACCTACATCTAATCCCTCATCAATCTTCTCTGCTCCATTCAGCATCATCTCGAAACAGCCTCTCAGGACACAAGCCAACAAGACTCATCCAGCAACACAAAGAGCCACTATTTACTACCACTGGCCAGGTTTTGCAGAATGAACTAGGTTGTCTGAGACAAGTGGAGCCTATTTGACAGTTGTACCAGCATAAAACGCTGTTATTCTGCGTGAAAAGTTAAAAACAAGAGATAAAATAGAAGCATAAATTTGTTAGATACTAAAATCATGCACTCCGGATAAGACCGAAACAGCTAAAACGCGGCATCGTGTAAGCTATTGATTGACACTTTAACCCTACATAAAAAAAAAAAAAAATTATTAGAATATTAAAAAATAAATAAATAATAAACATGGCACACACACTCACCCTCTGTGTTGAGTGAATAAAAGGCGATAACCAGCAAAAGTAAAGCGGCCGTACAGCGATTCATCCCCAATAGTTTGTTGAGAAGCTCCAGCAGCCTCCGGTTTGTTTGTGCCACTCAAATCCAATAATCGAGATGCTCAAACAGCGCGAGTGTGATGATAAACCCGTCTCTGTGATGTTGAATGCGCTCCCAGTCCGCGACACGCCACGCTCTTCTCAATCTGACGAGCTGCTCTCGAGCTCTGCGCTTCTATAAACACACGCTCCAGCGCCTCATTGATATGCAGAGCCCGCCGACGAATTAACTGTGGCCGTGTCTCCAAACCGAGCGAGTTGCCTACCTAGAAAGCATTTTGGAATCGTTTGAATGCAGGCGAGGCTGTCTAGGTAGGCAGCGCTCTAGGTTTTGAGACACAGTCTACATCTATCGCCAGAGAAAAAGCGATACACTTGAGTTAAAAAGTTTATTAGGAGAGTCTGTACGTTGTCAGGGGAGATAATTGCATTGGCTTTCATGCCGTCTCACTTAATTTGTTATCTCTGATTCTTGCCCATGAATAAAAGCTCAGTTTAGCAAACTCTTTCTTTTTGTAACCCAGCAAATCTATACAAACTGGACATCATAATAGTCTTTAGTAGAAGAGTGTTTTCTTAAGAACATCTTTAGACCTAAATACAAAACATCTGCATTTAACTTCTTGGACAGTTAGGTAGTTTAAAAAAAAAGTATCTGTGAGACTCACCTCAATGAGAATTAGATATAATTAAGTAAACCTGTGAGTAAACACTTGATTTTCATAATTCTTAAATGTTAAAAAAGCTGTTTTTAGATTGTTGTTGGTGACAGTGTTATGCACATAAAATGTTTTATGCTAGTCTCACCAATAAAGCTGCTTAAGTGTTATTTTGTGCTTCTAACCAGGGTTTGTGTAAAAACTCACACTACATTCTTAAAAATAAAGGTGCTTCACGATGCCATAGAAGAACCTTTTCGTCTAAATGGTTCCATAAAGAACCTTTAACATCTGAAGAACCTTTCTGTTTCACAAAAGCTTCTTTGTGGCGAAAGAAGGTTCTTCAGATTATAAAAAGGTAAGAAAGAGATGCTTCTTTAAAGAACCTTTGACCAAATGGTTCTTTGTGGAACCAAAAATGGTTCTTCTATGGCATCGCTTGAAGAACCTTTTGAAGCACCTTTATTTTTAAGAGTGCACACACAGTTGCATAATGGTGGCAATTGCTATAAGAAAGAGATGGTTCTTTAAAGAACCTTTGACTGAATGGTTCTTTGTGGAACCAAAAATGGTTCTTCTATGTCATCGCTTGAAGAACCTTTTGAAGCACCTTTATTTTTAAGAGTGCACACACAGTTGCATAATGGTGGCAATTGCTAGGAATTGATGCTGTCTACCCTTATATATCATCGGCATTTTCTCTTTAAATTGAATTAGCCTACCCAGGTGAAAAAGAAATATATTTAAATTGTGCTTTTTCACAAGTCATTTGTAATTTTAACAAGTGCAGTTTCTGTGCTATGGTGGGGCCTGAAACCTGAAATTCTTCATAGAGATCTTTTTTTTTTTTTGCAAGCATAAATAGACAGCTGAAATGGACACACTGCTAATGTTTTTCTTCCAAGATCGACCAAATCACCCTCCATTAGGCCTGATTCAAAAATCTCTATAACAGAGGTGAAGTACATTAAAAACCCACTAAAAGTGTAATCATTTTGTTATGTTCTTACACAAAGTAGACATAAAATATACTTTAAGTAAGGGTAACATAAGTATGTTTTCTGTAAATACACTAAAAAGTCACTAAAAGTATGCTTGTGTTTAGTATATCCTTTAAAAGTATAAATAAAAATATATTTATTAACATAGTATTTCTACTATACTTTTTAGAAATATACTAATAGTGTGCTTGTGTTTAGCATATTCCTTAAAAGTGTAACTAAGCATATATTTATTACCAAAGTATTTCTAGTATACTTTTTATAAATACATTAAAAGTATGCTTCTGTTTAGCATATTTCTTAGAAGTATAACTAAGCATATATTTAATACAAAAGTACTTCTAGTATACTTTTTAGAAATACATTAAAATGCAATTCAGTATATTTTTATTGCACTTCAAATAAGCATATTGGGAATACAAATGTATTATAAACATACTACTTGAATTTCAAGTATATTTTTAATACATTTAATACTACGTCTTTTTCACCTGGGTAGATTAACAAAAACAAAACAACAGCTGCTAGGGCACATTCATTCACAACATTATCCTATTTTGAAGAGTGCATTTTATTTAATGTGTGATAATGAATCCATGAAGACTTCTAAATTTGTAAGGCTTAAAAGAGACAGTCAGCAATTCTCACACATATTTTGAAAATGCAATTTTTTATTTGAATATTGCACCTTGGAGTTTATGCATGCCAGAAAGGTTCTTCAATAGCTATAGTCACTGATCTATGCTGTTTACTTTCATACATAATACTTTATAATATAATTTTGCGTTTTTGAATTTGTCACCTTTTTAAAATTTCTATGTGATGAGTAAAACTACCTATTGTTGTCTGCACTGGCACCAAACAGTGTTTGGCTCTGTAAATGATAGCCCTGAGAAGACTGTTTCTAGTTTCCTCCTCATGCATGGATGATTGGAGGGCATGAAGCCAACCATCTGAGTATCTGTGTCTGCGGACAAGAACCTCATCCCAGCTGTCATCAGCCATGCCTCAGTCCATTTCATGTCTGTCTGTGGCCCATCCAAATGTCCCAGTGAACTGAAAAGCATGAAAATCATATTTGAAGCTGCCCTTCATTCTGCCTGACTGGATATAATAGACACTTAATGGTAACAGACAATGTCAATGCACCTCTTGTCAGTCATGTTGTCAGTCATACCAAAAACACAGGCAACTATATTTATTTTTTATTGTTTACGTCATAATGCTGAGATTGTCCACTGACAGCTACATCAGGGATCAAAAGCATAAGAAATCTGGAAGATTTTAAATCAAGCCACTGTGAAGAAAACAGTACAAAGGAAAAAATGTTTTTCGAAGTTGTAAATAAAGATTATCATGTATGTTTTGGAAGGAAATACTACATTTCAAATGTTTAATCGATTTGCTGCTTCTTAGTGATCAATTGTGAAATTTACTGAGTGACATTTCTACAATTTCTACAATTTCAAACATTTACAATTTCATCACATTAACAATGAAAATGATCTACTAATGTTTGACAACCACAAAGTGTCACAATACATTTTGTCTACATTTTGACCAGTATTTCTACTGTTTTATTATTTATACCCTAAACATTTTTCTGAAATTTTTTTCAGAAAAGTATGCAATATTTAGCAAAAATACAAACCACTTGATATTTTAGCAGTGACTTTCAGTTTTTAGTGTGCCAAATAGAGTCCAAATACTTTTGGAGCTGGACTTAACAGAAGCTGATTTAACCAATCACCAGTCACCAATAAAACATTTTAACTGGCAAATGCCTCTATATACAGTAGATTAAGCAATAAGCAGCAAACAAGGAGGCAAAATGCACATGGTGTTTTAAATCGGGGTGTTCCAAAATGAACATACCTAATTCTAAAGACGGCTTTAATGAATCAAATCTTCTGCTTTAACTCTGTCCCAGCCACCTGCTGGCATCAATGCAAAACACTCTCCACTGATCACTGCGTCACCTTCCTCCAGGTCTGTGAAAGGACCCAACTGACCCTTCACAATATGTAACTCATTCCAGGCAAGCATTTTGGAGCAATTACTTTTAGTATGTTTATAAGACCCGTCTAGACCAAAGGCCATTTTTGGCATACAGTCCTTCCTTCTTCTCTTTGAAAAATGTTTGTTTGCAACAGCGATCAGAGAAGAGGATTCAGAAAGATCGCTGAGATTTGTCACAGCTGATAATGAATGCAATAGTGTCTCAGTCGTTGTATAATTATTTAGAAAAGGGAGATGCATAGATCTCTGGTTCTGGAGGATTGCAAGTCTGTTCTGAAAGAGTTGCAGGCTGCAGGGAAAAAAATGCAATTGCTAAATGCAAAAAACATAAACATATTCATGTTTGCATGACAGCAACTGTTAATGGCTTCCCATATCATTCACTGGCATCAAGCGTCCAATCAAATTCTACAGTATTTTGGCACATATTCATCTGTCACTGGATAGAAGCAAGCCAAATCAAGCAGACTGGCCAGGTTGCGTGTCATGCTCTCGTCCTGGAAATCCATTTACAAAAGGTGAAAAAATATCCAGACTAAATACGATTCACTTGCAACAAGGATAAATATGTGAATGTTTTAACAACAAGCAGACAAGAAGACCGAGACCCCTGAAAAGGTGGGCCTCGGTCCACTTCCAAATGAACTCTGGTGGGGTTTGACTGAAATATGAATGCAATGTGGGCCAAATACATCTAAATCAACCATAAACAGGATGTGATGACACAAGATGAAATGGATAAAATGCTCAAGCACACCTGGTTCTTCTAGTCACAGAAGCTAAAGAATGTTGCCCGTTACAGTTCGGTACAGGCGTCAAAACCACCTATGGAGGAATTCCTGGCACTGTTTTCACTCCTTGACACATTTTATAAGGTCTTTGTCAGTTATCAGCTTGTAAAAATACCACCATATTTAGACACATACAACAAATGCATTTAACCCAGCGCACAGCAATGTTGGATGTTCGTAAGTTTGCGAAATATACATCATAAAAGTGGCCCAATCAGGTTGTGACTGTATCCTTAAGCCTTTAGTTTTGTCTCTTTTGATTTGCTAAGTGAATCAGGACTAAATGTATCATTTTCTTTTTCAGTCCAGACCAAAACAAGTGTAAACACACCCTATTAATATTAACCTATTAATACATTTACATTTTTTGTGTTTAAGTGCATTTTACTTTTTGTGCTGTGTTGGGCCATCACAGGAAGTGCAGTACAATCTGGGTTCTGACGCAAAACTAGTTTAGAACTCGTTGTGTTATAACCAGATAAGGGCCTTTGACTGTATGCAATAGCATGACTGTAAAAGTTTTTGTGTTTTATTTTTCCACCCACACAGGCTCATTTTACTTTATTGTTGTTCTTTTATTAACTAATGCATTCAGACAAAACCTTTATGTATTTGTTTGTGTCTGTGGGTCTATCATGCTGAGTAATATTTTCTTTGTTGCATGTTATACAGCATATACAATGCACTGCATATGAGCACGATCTCTGTTGCTCA